GTATTTACTCTCATTACATGCCCCCACTTTTTTCTCTCCTGTCTTCACTGTAAAACGCTGGGGAAGGGGAGGAATGTTGCCAGTATCGCTTTGTCTAACTGGTTCTGTGCAAATTCATGCGTCTGGCCATCTCTGTGCTGTGGCCTCCAGGGCAAAGTTAATTCAAACCTAGATCTCCTATCATGTCTTCATTTGTCTAAGCCACCTTCCTGGACAGTGTTACTTGACTGGATGATGAGTGAGGGCCAGCGTGTTTAGGTGAGAGGGGGCACGCAGGGAGAGAGGAAGAGGGAAGGATGAGGCGGCTGAGCCCATTGCCAGGGAGTGGGCACCCACAGCTCTAGCCTTAGCACTGACGGCTGACCTGGAGCCAGAGAATGGGTGCAGGGCTCTGTCCTCCTCCAGGCCTGCCAGGAACCAGCAGCCCCTCACTCCTCAGCCTGATCCTTCGTGTTCCCTGGGAGGAGCTTGATGGCTGTTAGAGCTCTCAAGGGAAAAGAATAGATAAAAGCCAAAAGCAGGGGGGTTTCACAGGTTATGTTTCTTCTACTTGCTTTTTTTAAAAGATGCTCTATGACAGGCATGGGGAGTGGACTAGGTCCATGCTTCTTGAGAATAGTAAAGCTGGTCTTGGGGGAAGGAAAAAGGGGGGAGGAGGAAGAGGAGGGACAAGGGAAACTGATCAGTTAGATGGACAGGGATAAGAACTGGAGATTTCTAAACGATTATCACGGTCTTCTCGGGAAAATTTGGACTTCCTTACACTTGTTTCTGATTTATTTTTTATTTTTTATTTTTTTTTGGGGGGGTTTTTAAAAATTTTTTTATTGTTATGGTTTTTTTTTTTAATTTTTTATTCTTATGTTAATCCCCATACATTACATCATTAGTTTTAGATGAAGTGTTCCATGATTCATTGTTTGTGCATAACACCCAGTGCTCCATGCAGAATGTGCCCTCCTCAATACCCACCACCAGGCTAACCCATCCTCCCACCCCCCTCCCCTCTAGAACCCTGTCTGTTTTTCAGAGTCCATCGTCTCTCATGATTCGTCTCCCCCTCTGATTTCCCCCGCTTCATTCTTCCCCTCCCGCTACCTTCTTCCTCTTCTTCTTTTTTTTTTTTCTCAACATATATTGCATTATTTGTTTCAGAGGTACAGATCTGAGATTCAACAGTCTTGCACAATTCACCTTGTTTCTGATTTAAATTGTTTTTATCTTGAATTAGAAATTTTAATCAAGCCCTCCTGATAAGAAAAGCAAGAATAAGTATGGTTTTCTTGTTTTTGAGTTAAACTGGTTTCTTCTCTTCCCCTCAATTTTTCCCTCCTGGATGTGAGGAGGATTGGAATCTAGGGTCAACGTTTATCAAGTGATTGCTCACCTTGCTCTCCTCAACCAAATGCAGAAATAAGATGGTGCATGTGTCTCACTATTAGGGAGCTTCAGCCAGCAGTGGTGACTGGGACCCATGGCCATGCGACTCCTGTCTTTCAGTCCAGTCTTTCTGTCTATCCATAGGGGATTCTGCTAGGGCTGGGGAGCATTGGATTATAAATCCCACTGGTTGGCAGGTTGACTTGGGCCTTGGACAAGGAGGACCTAGAAGAGGTGAGATACTGGCTTGGGGTGCCAAAGGAAGCAGCCTGTCTAGGGTGCCCTGGTGACACCCCCAGTACTTGTAAAGCTATGACCAACAGGCCATGACCAAAGCCGGTGGTGGGGAGGTGGAAAAGGGTTAGGAACTCACTCCAGGAAACCTTTATTTCCAAGATTAAAAGTAGGCCTTTCTGGGAGCACAGAGGATTTTTAAGGCAGGAAAACATTCTTGTATGATACTAAATGGTGGATACATGTCATCAAACAAACATTAATCCAAACCCATAGAATGGGCACCACCAAGAGTAAACTCTAATGTAAACTATGGCCTTTGAGGGATTGTGATGTGTCAGTGTTGGTTCATTGATTGCAATAAATGTACCATTCTGCTGGGCGATGTTGATAACAGGCAAGCTATGAGGCTGAGCATGTGCAGGGTCAGAGAGCATATGGGGACTGCCTGTACCTTCCTCTCCATTTTTCTCTGAACCCATAACCACTCTAAAAAAAAAAAAAAGTAGACCTTTTTGTAAAGATCGGCATTTCTGTGTCTAGGGGTGGAAAAAAAGGGGGCAGGATCCCAGCTCAGGTGGGGCAACTTGCCAGAAGTCCTTGGGTTGTGGGCAAAATACGTGGCTTTCATCATCTCTCAAATCTCTCCTGGCTCGCAAGTGCCTGGTCGCAGCTCGCTTATAAAAAGGGTGAATTATTTACAGCAGATCCTAACATCACCGAGGCAAAGAAACCATTCTCCGGTTTCTGCAGGGATCTTTTGGGGCTCTCGCAAGCTCGTGGCCGAGCAGGCAGGAAGAAGGCTATGGGACAGCTGGGCCTCTGCCGTCTGCAAGCACAGCCTCCACAACAGGCCTTGCTCGAAGCTAAGAAAACCGCCAGAAAAGACACAGTAGTTGTTTTTTTTTTAATTATGTTATGTTAATCACCATACATTACATCATTAGTTTTTGATGTAGTGTTCCACGATCCATTGTTTTCGTATAACACCCAGTGCTCCATGCAGTACGTGCCCTCCTTAATACCCATCACCAGGCTAACCCACCCCCCTACCTCCCTCCCCTCTAAAATCCTGTTTGTTTCTCAGAGTCCATGGTCCCTCATGGTTCATCTCTCCCTCCAATTCCCCCCCCCTCATTTTTCCCTTCCTTCTCCTAATGTCCTCCATGCTATTCCTTATGTTCCACAAATAAGTGAAACCATATGATAATTGACTTTCTCTGCTCAACTTATTTCACTTAGCATAATCTCCTCCAGTCCCATCCATGTTGATGTAAAAGAAAAATATGGAATGCTTCACAAATTTGCATGTCATCCTGGTGCAGGGGCCATGCTAATCTTCTCTGTATTGTTCCAATTTTAGTATATGTGGTGCCAAAAGGAGCACTATGTATGTATGTTCTTTCCAGATTTTGCTTGTGGTTGTTTTCTAGTTTCATGGTGTTGTAGTTGGAAAAGATGCATAATATGACTTCAAATTTTTTTAATGTTGAGACTTGTTTTGTGGCCCAACATATGATCTCTTCTGGAGAATGTTCCATGTGCACTTGAAAAGAATGTGTATTCCTCTGTTTTAGGATGTGATGTTCTGAATATCTCACTTAGATCCATCTGGTCCAGTGTGTCATTCAAAGCCCCTGATTTCTTGTTGATTTTCTGTTTGGATGATCTATCCATTGATGTAAGTGGGGTGTTAAAATTCCCTACTATTATTGTATTACTATCGATCACTTCTTGTATGTTTATTATTAGCAGCTTTATGTATTTGGGTGCTCTCATGTTCCGTGTATAAATATTTACAATTGTTATATCTTATTGTTGGATTGTTCCTTTATGATTACATAGTGTCCTTCTTTGTTTCTTGTTACAGTCTTTGTTTTAAAGTCTATTTTGTCTGATAGAAATATTGCTAACCTGGCTTTCTTTTCACTTCCATTTGCATGATAAATGTTTTCCATCCCTTTACTTTCAATCTGCTTGTGCCTTTAGGTCTGAAATGAGTCTCTTATAGGCATATAGATGGACTTTTCTAAAATTTATTTTTATTTATTTAAGTAATCTCTACACCCAACATGGGGCTCAATCTTGTTCTTTTTTTTTTATCCATTCCATCACCCTATGTCTTTTGATTGAAGCATTTAGTTCATTTACATTCAAAGTAATTACTGATAAGTATGTATTTCCATTTGTTACTTGTTTATGATTGTTTTTGTAGTTCTCTGTTCTTTTCTTTTACTCTCTTCTCTCATGGTTTGCTGGCTTTCTTTAGTGATGTACTTAGATTCCTTTCTCTTTATTTTTTTGCATATCTATTACTGGTTTTTGATTTGTGGTTACCATTAGGTCTACATGTAACATCTTATGCACATAGCAGTCTATTTTAGGTTGACGGTGGCTTAAGTTTAAACCCATTCTAAAAGCATTAAATTTTTATTCCTCTTCCTCCCACATTTTAGGCATATGGCGCCATAATTTACATCCTTTTATTTTGTGAATCCCTTGATTGATTTTTATAGATATGCTTAATTTTACTGCTTCTGTGCCTCCTACTTTTCTTACTCCTGCTTATGGTGTTTCCTTTCCACTCATTTCTTGTAAGGCTGGTTTTTAGTGGTGATGAATTCCTTTAACTTGTATTTGTCTGGGAAACTCTCTCTCTCCTATTCTGAATGATAGCCTTGATGGATACAGTCTTCTTGGTTGCAGGTTTGTTTTTTTTTTCCAGCATTTTGATGATATCATATCTCCCTTCTGGCCTGTTTTCTGTTGAAAAACCAACTGATATCCTTACGTGGTTTCCCTTATAGGTAAGTTTCCTTGTGCTGCTTTATCAATAGTTTTTGCCATTTTATTTATTTATTTATTTTTATTTTTATTTTTTAAAGATTTTATTTATGTATTTGAGAGAGAGAGAGAATGAGAGACAGAGAGCATGAGAGGGAGGAGGGTCAGAGGGAGAAGCAGATTCCCCGCTGAGCAGGGAGCCCAACATGGGACTCGATCCCGGGACTCCAGGATCATGACCTGAGCCGAAGGCAGTCGCTTAACCAACTGAGCCACCCAGGCGCCCCAGTTTTTGCCATTTTAATCACTATGTCTTGGTGTGGACCTCCTTGGGTTGATATTTTGAGGGGCTCTCTGTGCTTCCTGGATCTGAATTTGTGTTTTCTTCCCCAGATTTGGGAAGTTTTCAGCTACTATTTCTTCAAATAAAAATTTCTCCCCCCCTCCCTTGTCCTTTTTTGGATCTCTGTAATGTGAAGGTTATTATGTTTGGTGGTGTGGCTGAATTCCCTTAATCTATTTTCATTTTTTTATTATTTTTTTCTCTCTCCTGTTCATTCAGCTTGAATACTTTCCACTACTCTCTTCTCCAGGTCACTGACCTGTTCTTCTGCTTCCTCCTGTCTACTATTTATTCCTTCTAGTGTATTTTTAATTTCAGTTCTCTGATTGGTTCTTTTTTGTTTTTTTTTCTCTTTCTTGAGGGTCTCCCTGAGATCCTCCACTCTTTTCTCAAGTCCAGCTAGTATCTTTATGGCCATTTCTTTAAATTCTCTATTAGACATGTTACTTATCTCCATTTCCTTTAGCTCTCTTGTGATTTTGTCTTGTTCTTTCATTTGGGACATACTCCTCTGTGTCCTCATTTTGCGTAACTCTCTGTGTCTGTTTCTGTGTGTTAGGAAAGTCAGCCACATCTCCTCCTCTTGAAAGTCATGGCTTTAGGAAGAAGAGGTCCTATAATGCCCTGTGGTGCAATATCCCCTCTTTACCAGAACCTGGCACTTCAGGGTGTCTGTGTGTGTTGTGTGTGCCCTACTATTGTGGCTGAGTTATATTTGCCTTCAGTCGAGTCATCTGCAATGGCTTTCTTTGTCTTTTGTGGACAGGGCTTGGTCCCTGTGCTATTAGTGAGCTAGTCTGGGGCTGCTTTGGGCTTGAGTTGAGTCACAGAACTACAGGCCGCTCTCCCTCTGTTGTCCCCTGAGAAGCTTTCCTTGGTGGGTGGGGCCCCACTGCTGGGGCTGCAGTCAAATTGGTATGTGTGGTTTTCTTCCTTTCTCTTTGGGGCAGAAGTCACTTTAGAGTGGGCTGACCCTGGTCAGGCCTGCTTGCATACTGCCAGGCTATGGTGCTGCTTTGGATGGACTCCTGTCAAGGGCATGTTTGATGGAGTGGATCTGCTGGAGAATATGTGGATAACAGGGATGCGGTGACAGCAAGGTCCCACCTGGTCTGCTGCAGGAGGGAACCTGCAGCCACCTAGGAAAACTCTTGCTAAGGCTGGGCTGGAGGGGGCAGTCTTCAGAAGGGGGTGGGGTGCAGGGTGCATTGTTAGCAAGCTAGGTGAGGGTATTCACATTGTGCTGGTTCTCACAGGTGTCCTTTTATCTAGGCTAGGGGGCAGGGAAGGGAAATGGTGTCTGCCAGCTCTTTTGTTCTTGCTGAAGTCTCCCAAAGATCCCTGCCCCTCCAGCATATGCTCTGAGATTAGTGAACAAATCTCCCTCCCCTATATGCCAAGCATTTTTCAAACTGCTGCTTCTATGCTGTATCTCCATGGGGCTGTTTGTTACATTGTCTCTTTTAAGGGCAGGGACTCAGTTTCCTATCACCCTCCAGCTCTCCCCGGGGGTGGGCTCACTGATTTTTAACATTCCAGGTGTTAAGCCCCACTGATTGTAAGAATGCACAAAGTTAGGTCATACGGTTTTCAAAGCCAAATGTTATGAGGGTTCGTCTTCCCAGTACAGGTCCCTTGTGCCTGGGGTGTCTGGACTGGGGTCTGCTCGTCTCCTCTCCCCACACCTGTGGGTCCCTCCCTCCTGCATACCGTCTCCTGGGTCAGTTTAGTTCCTGATCACATCATCGACCTTCCTACCATTTTCACTGTGGCTTCTTCTCTACATTTAGCTGTGGAGAGTCTGTTCTGCCAATCTTCAAGTCATTTTCTGGGTTATGTCAAGGGCATGTTGACATATATAACATATATATATAACAACCACTGATGTGGGTGTTATATATGTGTATCCGTGGGATGAGGTGAGCCTAGGATCCTCCTATTCTGTCATCTTTCCCAGAGTCCCGTGATCACTTTGCTACCATTTTTAAGTTGTCCTTTTCTTGATTCAGCATCTGCTTGGTTGTTAGAAACCTTTGACTTTTTCAAGAGTTCTGGCAAAGTTGGTTCTAGTTGTTGCTGTTTGAATCTATAGAATCTATGTGCTTCCTGGAGGGACAGGAGTTTGGAGCAGGCCACTCTGCTATTTTGCTGATATCACCAATGCTAATGGATATCTCATTTCCTCTCTGTGTACATCTCCGTTCCCTTCTCTGTACAAAGGGATGACACAGGTGGTTTGTAGTAAGGCTTTCCTTTTGAGAAAAGTGATCAATGGAACAAGAAAGCCTATTTCAGAAGCCCAAGACCTTGCTGTGTTGGGTTTTGTGTCCATATTGGTCATAATGGTGAACAACCTTTCCTCAGAAGAATCTATAGGCATATCAGCCTTTTTTTTTTTTTATGATTAGTATTTTTTGGGTCCTCTGCAGATAAGTCACGAAGACATTCTCCTATGTTTTATTCAAGGAGCTTTATTGTTTAAGCTTTTAATTCTGAGATCCATCCCAAATTAATTTTTGTGTTTGGTGTGATGTAGGTATCAAGACTCATTTCCCCCCTTTATTTATTCAGTTTTTCTAGCACCAGTTGTTGAAGAGACTTTCCTTTCCCCATTACATAGCTTTGCCAGCTTAGTCAAAAATCAATTAACTGTAAATGTATGGGCCTATATCTAGACCCCATATTCTGTAACATTTATCTATTTACCTATCCTTATGCTAACATTATGCTGTCTTTATAGCAATTCCTGGAATCAGCTTTAGAGCAAGTTTTGATATCAGGTAGCATGAACCATTAAACTTTGCTCACAATTGTTTTGGCTTTTTCGTAGTCCTTTAGTTTACCATGTAAATTTTAAAATCAACTTATCAAAGTTAAAATGCCTGTGTTGTTGATGATTGCATTGAATCTATAGATCTATATGGGGAGAGTCAACATCATAATAATAATGTGTGTTCTAGTTCACAAACATTGTATATCTCTTCATTTAGGTCATTAATTTTTTTCATGGTATTTTGTAGTTTTCAGTGCAGAGGTCTTCTATGTCTTTTGTTAAATTTATTAAGTTTTAAGCATTTAGGTCTTTTGATACTACTGAAATAGAATTTTTTAAAAGATTTTATTTATTTATTTGACAGAGAGACAGCAAGAGAGGGAACACAAGCAGGGGGAGTTGGAGAGGGAAAAGCAGGCTTCCCACTGAGCAGAGAGCCTGATGGGGGGCTCAATCCCAGGACCCTAGGATCATGACCTGAGCTGAAGGCAGACACTTAACCTAACCTAACACTTAACCTAACCTAACTTAACCTAACGCCACCCAGGCGCTCCTGTAAATAGAATTTAATTTTTCTTTGCATCTTCCAATTGTTGCTAGTATATAGAAATACGTATTTTTCTGTATATTGTCCTGTGTCCTTTAACTTTGTTAAATAAGTCTAGTAGTTGTTCTTTAGTGTTTCTTAGGTTGTTCTGTGTAAATAATTATGTTTTCTGCAAAATGTTTTTAGTTTTACTTGTTCCTTTCCAGTCTTTATGCTTTTTCCCCCTTACTTTATTGCACCAATTAGAAGCAATATTGAATAGGAAGGTGGGGTGGATATCCTTGCTTTGTTACCAGTTTTGAGGTGGGTGGCATTCAGTATTTCACCATTGGCTATTATGCTAGCTGTAGGATTTTGTATGGATTCTTTTGTTAGATTGAAGAAGTTCCTTTCTATTCCTAGTTTTTTGAGAATTTCTAATCCTAAATGAGTGTAGAATTTGAATTTTTTCTTCAATTATTAAGATCATAATGCTTTTATCTTTTTTTCTATTAATATGGTGAATGATATTGATTTTTGAATGTTGAACCAACTTTACATCTTTGGAATAAATCTACTGGTCCTGATGTATTGTCCTGGTTTTTATTTCATTTGTGTAGTGCTGGATTTGATTTGGTAACATTTTGTTAATGACTTTTAGCATCTATATTCATGAGGGATATAAATCTTTAACCTTATTTTCTTATCTTTGTTAGGTTTTGGTATCATGATTTTACTGGCCTCTTAAAGTGTGATGGGAGGTGTTTCCTCTTTATTTTCTGAGTTTGTATAAAATTTGTATCAGTATCCTTAAATGTTTGATGAATTTATGGGATTGAATTTATTTGATTGATTTATTAATTCACCACTGAAACCATCTGGTCCTGAATGTTTCTTTGAGGGAAAATCTTTTGATAAACAATTTAAAAGGTAATGAGCTATTCAGATATTGTATTTTATTATATCTGTTTTGGTAAATTCTGTGTTTCAAGGACTTTGTCCATTTCATGTAAGCTATCAAATTTATTGTTATAAATTTTCCAAATATTCCCTTATTCGTCTTTTAATGCCTGTAGGATCTGTAGTGACGTACCTTCTTTCATTGGGGTGATAGCCCTTCTCATTTTGACATTGATAATTTGTGTTTTCTTTTTTAAACTAATTTTGCTAGGAATTAATTTTATTAATCTTTTCAAAGAACTAAATTTTGGCTTTGTTATCTCTGTTGTTTGTAAGTCTTCTGTTCATTGATTTCTGTTCTTAAAATATCCACCTTACTACTTAACTTTGGGTTTACTTTTTCTTTTTGTATCTTTCCTATTTTGGAAACTCACTTGGTTTTAAACCTCTTTTCTCAGGAGTATATAAAATTATTTCTCTCTAAGCACTGCTTTAGCTGCATCCCATAAATTTCAAAATTGTATTTTCTTAATCATTCAGGTCAAAGTATTTTCTAACTTCCATTGTGATTTCTTATTTGATCCAAAGTTTATTTAGAAATATATTGTTTAATGTCCAAATGTTTGGGAATTTTCTAACCTTATTTTTTACTTTTGATTCCTAATTCAATTATTTGTGTCCAGAGAATATATTTCATAAGATTTCAGTTCTTTGAAATTTATTGAGACTTGTTTTATGGCACAGGATATGGCCTATCTCAGCAAATGTCCTAGGTACACTTGAGAAGAATGCATATCCTGTGGTAGTTAGATGTAGTGTTCTGATTAGCATTAGGTCAAGGCAGTGAGTAGTGTTGTTCAAATCATCTAAAACTGTACTTATTTAATTTTTCTATCAGCTACTGAGAAGAAGGTGCTACCTTTAGCCTACAATGTCATAAGATTTCTCTCCATCTCCCCACCCTAAATCAAGTCTTTCCTCTCTGGCAGCAAAGCTGCTGGACTGGAAGACTGCCATTCTTGCAGACTGAGCTGCATGGGGGCTGCGGGGAGAGTAGACCTGAGCTGTTCTTACCTGAATCTTTAGCAGGTTTTCAATGTGTTGGCCATCTCTGATAGATTTCTAGTGCCCTAAAATGGGTGTTTTTGACAATTTTGTCTAGTCTGTCTGTCTATCCATCTACCTACCTACCTACCTACCTACCTACCTACCTACCTACCTCCCTCCCTCCCTACCTACCTACCTATTAGTGGAGGAGAATTGCTGGCCTCTTCTTTAGAAGCCGATTTTATGGTACTATTTTAATATGATGCCTTTAACCTTTATTAAAAATATTGAGAAGAACATTTCTGCATCTTCTCTAAAACCTCTGTTGGAGGTTTTTTAAGTTGTTAATGTTATTTGTCCAGAATAAGCGGGAAAAACTCCCTTCGGGATGTAGTATAGACTTACTTGGTTCCTTCACAACATTCACCAGTTGAATCACAACAAGTTAAACATTTATTTGCTAGAAATGAATATTATAAATTAGAATTTTACTCTTAAAAACTCATTTCATACCATAAAATACCAAGACATCACAAATGTTCTTCAAAATCATACAAGTATTTGCTTTTACAAACATTATGTAGAATTTCATTCAAGAAATACTTATTGAGAGATTACCATGTGCCAGAGACTGTGCCAGGCACGAGGAATAAAAACAAATGTACTCAGGAGGCACAGCTCCTGCCCTCCCCTCAGAGCTAACAGTCCAATTGGTGAGAGAGATGGTTACACAGACAATTACAATCAAGTGTGAGATGGGCAATGGCAGAGGAAGTCAGTTCTATGATTGTGCCCAGTATCTGTGTTTGCTCCCACAATTTTTTTCCTGGTCTTTGGAATCCTTGAGGCTTTAGAAATAAAATATCATTAAAGCCTGGACTAAAGACACGTCTCCCATGGTAAGTTTCTGAATGGTAAATACTTGGGGAGGGACAGTTTCCTTGGGAAAGGTTTCTCCTATTCTTTTTTTTTTTTTTTTAAAGATTTTATTTATTTATTTGACAGAGAGAGACACAGCGAGAGAGGGAACACAAGCAGGGGGAGTGGGAGAGGTTGAGAAGCAGGCTCCCCGCAGAGCGGGGAGCCCAATGTGGGACTCGATCCCATGACCCTGGGATCATGACCTGAGCCGAAGGCAGCCGCCCAACCGACTGAGCCACCCAGGCGCCCCGGTTTCTCCTATTCTAAATTTGTGAATGTACATTAGATCACTTGGGAAGCTTTAAACAAATACCCTCGCCTGGATCTGGTGAGGCCCAAGACCCAATTTTTTAAAGTACTCAATGACTTTAGCATGCAACCGTGGTTAAGAACTATTACAGCCTTTGTTTCCAGTTTTTTCAACATTTGACACCTGGAATAAAAGAAGCCTCCTTCAATGGTTTTCGTTAAGTTTTCTGGGAAATTCTTCTTCACAATACTTATGGTTTCCTTCTACTGCTCTGGTGTCTGGTAGAGAGTGAGTATCATCAACACTTCAAGATTCTAAAGAACATGGGGCACTCATTCCTCTCTCTCTCTTACTCATCCCCAAGTGAAATGGAGAAATTCATCTGATCAGTTAGCCTCTGACACCCACTGAACCACATTCTGTGTAGCAGATGTAGTTACTTTGCTCTACCCATATCCTTTGCGTCTATCCCATAGTGATAATAAAAACAGCTAAATGGTACTTACTGAATGCTTACCATATGGCAGCTGCTGTCCTAAGCCTTTTACATGAATTAATTCATTACATCTTCATACCAACCTGATGATGTCCATTCTGTGGTTATACCATTTTAGATTTGAGGAAGCTAAAACTTAAGGAGATTAAGTAACTTGTCTGAGGACACACTGTCATTGGACTGGGATTTCGATCCAGACCACTGGCTCCAGAGCATATTCTCTTAACCTCCCTGCTACTCCACTGCTAAGGGGCTAGCCTGGCCTTTGCTCCACAAGTGGTAAGCACAGTTGGAGGCCAGTGCTAAGTGCGTATATGCCGGCAGGCATTCTCCATTCTACTGGTAACTGGGTCTGTAAGCCTCTCTGTGCAGCTTGCTGCATAAAAGTACTCCAAGTCATCTTAGTAGGTGCAACTCTACTCCCAAGTGGGTACCATGGTCCAGAATTGAGGAGGGGGATGAGGGTTCCCTTGAATCAACATATACTCAGACTTTAAACTGTCTGTCTAGGAGTTCTGCACTTAAGGCTTTGGAATCTCTAACAATGTTGTGCTTACGTTTCTCATCCCAAAGAGATCCTTAACTCACACTACACACTTCTTCCTTGGATTTTACTTTGCCTGTTCTTAAGCATGTTGGGAAGAGGCAATGCCTTTGTTAAGTGGCACAAGGATTCACTATATATGATTATGCATCCATGAAAAAAGTTTTCTACCTTACAAATCAGTTCATTGCGATTGTATATTGCTATTGATTATACTAGTCTAGTCCCAGCCAACTACATGGCTTCAGCTGCCATGATCACATGGCTTTAAACATGAGTTTTGTTTATCACCCAAGGTGTTTTATTTTTAAGAGCAAAGGTTATTAAAGTTCAGGTGTTTTAACTAAAGCCATTATAAGGAGAAGGTTCCTAGTAACAGAAACAAAGTTTTCCTCTCCTGGTAAACTTCAATGAACTAATGAGAATTCTGTAATACCTTGTATTTTTCTTTTTGTCTAAATACAAATCTTAGTTTTAGAAGACTGCATAAAGATAAATACTGTTTTAGAAAATATTCTGTTTCATGATATGTTCTTTATTAAAAGCCACTTTAAAAACACTTTTTCAGGTGTTGATTTTAACTTTAGTTCATTGCTATACAGCAGGGATGGGCCAACTACAGCTCACGGGCCAAATCTGGCTGCTGCTAGTTTTTGTAAAGTTTTATTGGAACACAGCCATGTTCCTTCTATGTGTTATCCATTGCCACTTTCCCCTTATAATGGCAGAATTGAGTAATTGCAACAGAATCTGGCCAGAAAAACCTAAAATAGTTACTATCTGGCTATTTACAGAATAAGTCAGCTGTTGCCTGCTATTGTATAGCAACCCCCCACCCCGCCCCCATCTCCTATCCCATCATGCCTAATTTGCTGCTTCTCATTTTGTCTTGGGTTACTGATTTTTTATTTTACAAGTGAATAACTATTACCTCATTCAGGTTAGCATTTTTATTTTTTTAAAGATTTTATTTATTTATTTAACAGAGAAAGAGAGGGAGCGAGAGAGAGAGACAAGCAGAGGGAGCGGGAGAAGGAGAAGCAGACTCCCCCAAGCAAGGAGCCCAATGCGGGGCTTGATCCCAGGATGCTGGGATCAGGACCTGAGCCAAAGGCAAATGCTTAACTGACTGAGCCACCCAGGCGCCCCCAGGTTAGCATTTTTAGAGGAACAAAACAAAACGCAACTGCCTCCTTACTTGTGCAGTACTTATCTGTGTGTCAGTGATTCTCTGGTGAAAATAAGTTACCCTGATCACAGTTTTCCTAATACAAGGTAAATCTTTTCAAATTTATATGATCAAGTATTTTTTCAGCTCAGAAAATCTTTTATTATAACTTTATTTTTATTTGTTTTGGTTCCTATTGCTTTAGGATTGGTGATCCAGAGCTAACCTCTTTGTCATTTTCATCTCCTTATCCTTCCCAAACCATACTGGATGACAATAAATTTGTTAGCAACATCACCTCTTTTATTCTCTGCTTTGATATTTCTGTTCTTTTAACTGCATCCAAATGTGTTTCACTGGATTTTTTAATCTTTTTGTATTTTTTTTTCATCTTAGCCAGCTTTCTTTTCTTTTCAGCCTGCGTCTGTTTGTTGGCGTCTGCTCTTCTTATTCTCTGCTGCAGTTTCCTAAGAGGCCATTTCTTTTTGCCTCCTATTAAAATCATCAAGCAGATAGCTTCTGAAGCTTTTCCTGTTTCCTAGAGAAGGATATTTTCTAAGATAGGCTTTTATTCTGTTTTCAGAGTAACATGCATATGGGGCCCATGTAGATTTGTTGTTGAGACTTTTGTTTTTTTCATATTTACCAATCTTTAAATGAGGAGGGATCGTGATGTTTGTCAACACACAGGACGGACAGATTGTTCCCCAACAGCACCCTCTCTATGGGTATTGCATGAATATTCTTCTTAGATCTAAAGCTCAATGGTAAGTTGATGGACCATTGTATGGATATACCACAGCTTGTTTTTCTATTCCAATGTCAATGGATGTTTGGGTTTCTAGTTTAGGGGCTATCATGAAAAGTACTGCTGTGGACATTCTTGTCATGCCTGTTGGTGCACACACTCATGTATTTCTCCTGCATATATATCTAGGAGATGAAGTGCCAGGTCATGGGGTATGCATGCTTTCAAACTTAGCAGATAAGGTCAATGGACTATGGATATCAAGCCAAAACTACGTAAGAAATATTCAATAACATTTCTTTTTGTTTGATTCAGCAAGCCAGAATATCCTCTTAGTTAACAAAATGTTGAAATGAGACATGAGAAAATTTTCTCTTGAAGTAAAGCATCTGGGAAACACTGAAGAGAATAAACTCCTTTGTTTGATTATTATGACTGAAAATAATTTTAAATTATTGGAAGTTTATGGAGAAGAAAGATCTTTCCTCATGAATTACACATTGACAAGTCCATAAAAGCTGCACATCTTGGGAGAAGCATAGATTATTGGAATTCCATATGATGATTTGTATAGCTTCTTTTTAAAAAAGATAATCTGTAAAAAAAAAAACACACAAAAACCCCACAAATGTTTGATTATGTCATCTTTTAAGAAACAATCATTATCAGACCAATACATACAAAAAATTACTGTGATACAATTACAAAGAGCCTTGGTTCAGAAGCCAGACATCACCAGACATATCCCAGCTCTGCTACTTATGAGCCCCATGACCCAAATGTTTCTTAACTCACAGGGTCTCAGTTTCCAAATTACAGGACTTACAAGCCTTACATTAACTGAATTATAACTGAAAACTTACTTTGTGTACACTGTAAAAAAATTTAAACTACAAAAGGATATAAACATGAGGAAAGTATATCTGTTTCCCTTCAGTCCCCAGGTCTACTGACAAATACTTAACCAATTTCTTGTTGATCTTTCCAGAAATATTTAATGTTTATTGTAGGCCTCATGAATGCACATATGTTTGTATATATGCAAACATATTTCTAGCTTTTAATCAAGGAATATGACACATATGAGAAAATAACAGAACACCAATGTGCAGCTTAGTGAATTAATGTTAAATATTCATCTGTGTAAATACCACCCAGGTCAAGAAGTCCTATAAGCTCCCACTTACTCCTTCCCAATCACAACCATCTCTATTCTCTAAAAGTTATCACTATTCTGATTTTTACTTGATTTTTTCCATATTCACTTTCTTGATTTTCTTCTATCTTTACCTCCTAAATGCCATAGTTTAGTGCTGATTTTAAACTTTATATAAATAGATTCATACTGTAGTTTTCTTTTTTGGATCTGATACTTACAACATGGATGAATCTCAGAAATATATGAATCTCTTCATTCATTTTAACTGCTACATAGTAGGAATTGACAAACTTTTTCTGCAAAGGGCCTGATAGTAAGAATTTTAGACTTTGGGGGCCAATAAACAAAATTGAGGATGTTATGTAGGTCCTCAACGAGAGAAAACAAACTTTCACAAAATTTTTGATAAAATTCAAAAGATAGTAATAATAATTGACTACAGGTTTGTTTTTAATATAAGTCTACTAATGAGAAAAATGGAAGTCTTATTTAGGGGATAACATTTTGCTCAATTAAGGTTCAGATCATCAAAACTGATTACATGTCACCAATAGCCGATAAACATTTACAGTGAGACCCCCCAACACACACCCCCATTTCAGCTTGGAACATGTCTGTCACACAGATGCATGCTGCCAACACTGATATCAATCCATGAGCATAAGCTTTTCATTGTGCGTATTTATTGCTTGGGAGGCATTTACAGAACTCCATTAGATTCTTCTCTTGATATTTCCCTCTTAGCATGTCATTACAATGTATATTAATTGCTTCCAGTAGAAGGTTAAGTGGACATTCCTCCATCCCACAGTTAGAGACTTTGATGTAGGAAAATTTCCTCTGCACTTGTTTCAAGGTCCAGAAAATGCTCCTGGAGGTGTAAACTCAGAAAACATATTCACTGCAACTATGTGTGGGAATTAAAATCGTGCTTCTTGTTTTAACTTGTGACAGCACAGGAAGTATATAAAGCAGCTTGCCATTATTTGTGATTTAATGTTAGTTGCCATTGAAATGATTTTACCATAGTGTAAATTCTGCCATATAAGCTCTGTTTTGCCTTGTAATTTTAGGTTGGATTCATTAAAAAATATTATCAAGTCTACAGCAAAAGCTAATTTCCCAAAGCCATTCAGTATTCCATAATGGTGGATAAGGGTAGTTTACTTATTTAGAAAAATCTCAATCTTAATCTGACTCAAAAACTCACACTGAAAGGTTATCAGTGCTAAGCCATCAAGTATCAGTGAGGTAGGCAAGTCAGAACATACAGCTATTTCTGGAAAAAAAAACAAAAAAAATCATGGAACAATAAATTAACAATGGTTAAATCCATGAGACTGAGTGAAGATCACCATTTAAACAGCTGGTTAAATAACACATGATAGATTCAAACATGTTTTCACTAGTAAAATGTTTATCCACTAAAAATCTACTGCTGGGGCGCCTGGGTGGCTCAGTTGTTAAGCGTCTGCCTTCGGCTCAGGTCATGATCCCAGGGTCCTGGGATCGAGCCCCGCATCGGGTTCCCTGCTCAGTGGGAAGCCTGCTTCTCCCTCTCCCACTCCCTCTGCTTGTGTTCCTTCTCTCGCTGTGTCTCTCTGTCAAATAAATAAAATCTTTAAAATAAATAAATAAATAAATAAAATAAAAATCTACTGCTGACATTCTGTGGGGAAATTTGGCCATACATTCAGGACTCCTCTTGATTGTAATCCATCATGCCAGCCCATACTGATTTTAAAAGCCTTGTTGATTTGTTTCCCCTAGTAAATAAAGACCCTCTGCCCTTGGCAAGCCTGAGCCCCAGCTTGTACCCAAACTTGGCCAATGCCCCAAGGCAAGAAAATGGCCAGTGATCTCAGATCACTTAGGAAGGACTTTCCTCTGCTGTTATAGTTCATCTAGTCCCTTTGATTTCCATAGCTCTCCGATGTCTTTAAAAATAATGATGTTTACAATGTATCCATTTTCTTTAAATGTTGCAGCTACCTACTACATCCTACCTAAAATCAGAAGACATGTCTGTTTTGTTTTATTAAATTCTTTTCCCCCCAACTTATGCATGTTTTTCTTCAAAATTTTATGTTTTTTCTTTCCTTTTGCTTTTTTGCATCTAATTTACTGTCCTTTTTATAATTTCTTGAAAAGGATGCTTAGTCTTATTTTCACCTTTTCAAATAAATGCCTTTAAGACTACAAATTTCTAAGCGTCACATTAACAGTGTTCCACAAGTTTGATACATACATAGCATTTTTGTCATTTTTCTAGTATTCTAGTATCTAGAATACTAGTATTCTAGTATTTTCTAGTTCTATTATCACACTTTCTTTGATGAACAGATTGTCTATATCTGTATTTCTTAATTTTCAAATATATTAGAATTATCACTGATTTCTAGTTTCCTTGCATTTTTATCAAAGAACACACTTTGCAGGATTTCAACTCTTTGAAATGGTTGACACTTGCTTTATGACCATATATAGTCAGTTTTTGTACATGTTTGTTGTGTGTATTCTTAAATAATATGCATTCAGTAGTTGTTAGGTATAATATTCTATAAATGTGCTTTAGGTCAAATTTCTTTTTTTTTTTAAAGATTTATTTATTTGACACAGAGAGAGAGACAGCTAGAGAGGAAACACAAGCAGGGGGAGTGGAAGAGGGAGAAGCAGGCTCCTGGCTGAGCAGGGAGCCCGATGCGGGGCTCGATCCCAGGACCCTGGGATCATGACCTGAGCCGAAGGCAGACGCTTAACGACTGAGCCACCCAGGCGCCCCAGGTCAAATTTCTTAATTATGTATTTCAAATCTTCCATTTCCTTTTATTCCTCAGTTCCTGATAGAGATTAAAATTTCCTAGCATTATTTTGGATTTGTTTCTCCGTGCAGTTCTATTAAGTTTACTTTACAAAGGTTGAGGCCATGTTACTAGATACATTCCTATTTGTGACTCATACCTTCCCAATGAATTAAAACCTTTATCTTTATGAAGTGTCCTTCATTTTGTCTAGTAGGACTTTCTGCCTTAAAGTCTTCTTTGTCTAATATTAATATCGTTGTATCTGCTTTCCTGTGGGTGATTTTTTTTTATGGTATATTTTTTTATCCTTTAACTTGTAAGCATTCTGTATATTTAGATTTTGTATGTGCCTCTTACAAACAGCATTTATTTTTATTCAGTCTGACAAATTCTGACTTTGAGCATTTAGCTATTTACATTTAATATAAATTAATGATGAATCAGTGATAAACACCTACCATTTTATCCAGTGCTTTCTATTGGTTTTGTTTCCTTTTTCTCTCCTTTCTATCTTCTGTTTATATTGAGGGTTTTTTTTTTTTTATTCCATTTTCTTCTATTAGTTTAGATGTCCTACGTCTTTCTACTATGCTTTAGGAGTTACCTTAGAGGTTACAAACTGTTGCCTTGAGTCATCAAAGATAATGTTAAATAACACTCTATCCCGCTCCTAGATACTGCAAATGGCTTAGAACAATTTAGCCCACACACGGATTTTGGACTCCCACACTACTTATGCTGTGTAATTGTAATGTCACTGCTGTTGCTTTTTCTTATTGTTTTTTTTTAAGCAGTCAGTAAATAGCCACATATTCTTTATCTCCAAATTTCCAACTGGGATAATTTTCCTTCTATTTGAAAAACACCCTTTAGTAATTTCTTGTAGTGAAGATCTCCTAGTGACAAATTTTGTTTCACTTATCTGAAAATGTCTTTCATTGTCATTCTTGACGGACATATTTGCATGTTATAGATCCTTTGTTATTATACTATTTCAGCATTTTGAAGCTATCATTCCTTTATTTTCTGGCTTTGTTTCTGATGAGAAGTCAACTTCAGTTTAATTATTGCTCTTCTGAAGGTAATTCACATCCTTTTCCTCTGAAAACTCTAAAGATTCTTTCTTTTGTTTTCAGCAGTCATATTAAAGTGTATGTAGGTATAGATTTTTAATATTTTTTTGCCTGGGGTTAAGAAGGCTTATTAAATATTGAGTCTTTCATTGGTTTTTAAAAATTCACATTTCATAGTATTTCCCAACATATTTCTTCTCTTAGTAGTCAGATTTCTTGAATCAATGGTCCATTTCTACTATCTTTTTGTCTCTTCCTAATGATTAAGTTATCCTATATCTATCCTTGCATCTCCTCTGTAGTTTCCACCTTTTTGTTCCTTTATTCTTTCTAGGCAAATTCTTCTGACCTATCTTCTAATTTATTAGTTTTCTCCATAGTTGTATTTATCCTGCTCTTAAATCCATTCACTGAGTTTCTCATGTTGATTACTGCTGATTACTGAAATCTGCTATATCATTTGTATCATTTCCAGTTCTCTTGAAAATTTCAATGTTGACTTTAATCTCTTTAAACATAAGTGTCTTAGCTCAGGCTGCTTTAACAAAATAACTGGGTAGCTTAAACAACAGAAATTCATTTTTTCACAGTTCTGGATGCTAGGAGTCCCAGATCAAGATGTCAGCATGGCCGGTTTCCGGGGCGAACTCTCTTCCTGGTTTGTAGATGGCTGCCTTCTTGCCAGGTCCTCACATGGCAAGGAAAAAGAACAAGCTCTCTGGTGTCTCTTCTTATAAGGGCACCATTCGCATCATGGGGGACCCACCCTCATGATCTCATCTAAGCCAACTATCTCCCATAGCCCTCATCTCCAAATACCATCATATTGGAAGTTAGGGCTTTAACATCTGAATTTTGGAGGGACATAAGTCTGTAGTACTCCACCCCAGCCCCCCCCCCCACCATTCATGTCCTTCTCACATGCAAAATACAATCATTCCATCCCAATAGCCCCCAAAGTCTTAACTCATTAGAGCATCAACTAAGTCTCATCTAATTATCCTCTAAATCAGGTATGGGTGAGAGTCAGGGTATGAGTCATCCTGAGGAAAATTCCTCTCCAGCTGTGAACCAGATGAGTTAGGTACTTTTTTTTTTTTTAAGATTTATTTTTATTTATTTCAGAGAGAGAGAGAATCCCAAGCAGACTCCATGCTGAACAGAGGCTGACATGGGGCTTGATCTCATGACCCTGAGGTCATGATGTGAGCTGAAATCAAGAGTTGGACATTTAACCAACTGAGCCACCCAGGCACCCCTCATCCCAACTAGGGGCTGGAGTCCCAACCCAAATGGAGGAGGCTTACCAGGGCCTCTAGCTTGACTCTAGTTTTTGTCCCCCTAGTTTTACAAAGCTGGTGAAAATATCACTCAGCTTTTCAGCCCCATTTTCTAGAATGTGCATATTCCCTCAGGGGGGACAAAAAGTGACTGCAAATGCCAGCATCAACTCTCTGAATTTGTCTTCTCTTAGATATTTACCCAGAAATTCCTCAGTTAGCTCTCCATTGTCTTCAAGCTGATTAAAAATATTTTAAAATCAAGGTCCATGCCTACATTCCCTAAGCATTATTAAATAATCTCATATCTGTCCTTCCCTCCTTCCCACAGAGAAGGAAGAGAGAGTACATACATGGGAGCAACTAAGCATCATGTTCCAAACATTAATAAAGCAGTAAAGAGATACTTTATACTCAGAAGTAAATGCAGACATACTCAATTTAAACTATGTAAATTATTTATCTTATTAAATTTTCATGTAAGAAAAATGACTATCCAAATATTGAAGGTGATTTTTATCACAATAATAAGATAGGCAAAATGTTATGGTCCCTGGATTTATATTATATAGATGTATGGATAGCGTTACATGTAAATACATGGTTTATATTTTTAGGGATTTCAGAGGTGGTTATTTCATTATTAATTAAAAACAAAAGATTTTCTGCTGTAAATTACAGCTATAGCTTGGTATTTAAGAGTTCTTTGTCAGTTTTCTCTCTTCTTTCTTTCTTTTTTTAGAGATTTTATTTATTTGAGAGAGTGAGTGAGTGAGAGAGTGAGAGAGGGAACAAGTGAGGGGAGGAGGACAGGGAAAGGGAGAAGCAGATTCCCCACTGAGCAGGGAGCCTGACACAGGGCTTGATCCTAGGACTCTGGGATCATGACCTAAGCCAAAGGCAGATGCTTACCCAACTGAGCCACCCAGGCGCCCCCTCTGTTTTCTTTCTTAACTGACCCTTCATCTCAATATTCCTTCCATGATCCTCTTTGACTGAAACTTAAGGTCCCCATCGATTCCCTTGCAGAGGGTCTGTTGGTCACATAAGTGCAGGCAAACCTCTAGTGAAGGGACATTATTGTAAAAATTACACAGTTAGTGGCAGAGCTGGCTAACACTCAAACCTTCTGAATGCCAGGCTCAAATTTCCCCGCGAGCCTTGTGTCTTCCCTATCCTGATAGCATACTCTCACGCCAAAATAGTAGATGATGTGCTTGACCAGAGAAGGGTTGAGAAAGAAGGTATATGCAAAGGGTTCACTTCCTTTCTTCTGAGAATTCTCATGAGAATTTTACTTTCAATTGACTCTCTAGCTCTGTTTTCCTAGCAATTCGATAAGGTAGTTTGTATCAACTATGTTACTAAGCAACACTACCTGACCTCCAAGTGGTAACTAGCATTTGATTGGAAGGAATTATAAACGAACTAGTAATACCTAATAGGAAACCACAGGTTTGAGTTTTCCTGAGTGTGCTGACTTTTGTAACCGAGTGAATCGATTAAGGGGACCCTGGACACTGTGTCTATGGAATCATTACAAGACATCCTGGCCCCTGAGGCACGGAAACCAGGGCAGGTCTGCACCTACCCAATGTCAATCTCTCCTCCTTGCCTCTAAGCTTTGTAACCAGGGGACTAAATAGCTATGTGTTTGTCTGTGTGGACCCAGCAAGAGCTTCCATATAAAGAGAAGCACCTGCTGCTGCCCTGCTCAAAGCTGGGGTTCCTGTCTTCTATCTTGCTGAGTAAATGGATACTCAGCTCCTATTGAACCTTGTCTGTGTTAGTCTTGTGAGTAGGAATGTTTGGTTGAGCCTAAGACCAACTCCTGGTGGGCCCTGCAGGAGGCATCTGGGCTAGAACTGGACAGGCTGTGCCTCATGCTGTGCTTACAACCAGCGTGATGAGACAGGGATTCCTTCTCTACTCCCTAAGAACAAGCTGCTTTTTATAACACGGACATATTTTACAGCTTTATTTGTGATCAAATACCATCATGTGCTTTAAGGACCCATAAAAAATTACCCAGAATCCTATTTTCTGGACACAGGAGTCCAATTGCTATAATGTCAACTCTATTCTCTAAGAATTTCAATAGTAGGTTCCATCACCTAGATGAAATGTGCCAATTTGAATGGGAGTGTTTCACTTTCTTAAACACATTAGGGTTGTTGGAGTAGAGCAGAGAGCTGAATGATGCTGGGCCTCTCCTCCCCTCTGCTTCCTTTCAGATAAAAAGTCAAACTCACCTTAGCTGCGATTCTTATTTTTGAGTTTTTTCCTCAGGTGACTTGCCAGCGTCCGAGACCTCCTCATCTTGCTGTTGCGCCACAAAATTCTTGTTGACCATGTCTTCCGTGTGACTGTGGATGATCTGATGGGCTGCAAGGATATGCTTCCACTGGGCGTTCCTCACTGTGCCAAAGCGACAAGAAATTTTACTCTGAAAGTCTAAACAAAATCATTCCCAAAGATTTTCAAGAAAGTAGTGACAGAAATGAAAATTGGGTAAACCACATATTCCCTTGCTTCAAGCTGATGAGAGTAAATAACAATAAGCTGCTCTCTGTTGTAGAAGTATGCCTTCTAGAGGCAACCAGACCTAAGGTCGATCATTGCTGCTCCCCCATCCCCACTCTCTGGTTCAGTCCGGTCAGTCTCCTCCCCACCCGGCTGGCCTCTATTGCTGTCCCCCCCAGCTGCCCTCCACTGGAGTGTCTGCAAAGCCCGACTCAGGGCCCAGCTCCGCCAGGAAGCCTCCTCTGACCGGGCTGGCCCACATCCACCATTGCCACACCTGAGTTCCCACAAAACCACACAGCACTGAAGCACTCAGTGTGAGTTTCGTTTTGTTTTTTAAGTAGGTTGTAATGACTTAAAGGTAGAGACCTTGTCTCCCACTTCTCTTTGAACTTTTGTTCCTAATATGGAGCATACTTGTTGACTGATGATGAGTTTCTGAGCTCATGGCTTTCAAAGGTGGTCTTTGCTCCATATTGTGAGGATATTTATTATCAAGGATTAGTACATTAAGCATCCCATCTCCCTTGGAAGGGATAATCATGATGATGATGATAACGTTAGCACTTAGCATTTGTCCTTACTTTGTGCCAGGCACTGTTTTAAGCAGTTGGCATATATCCATTTAAACCACCCCACAACCCTAAAAGAGACTATGAATCATATCCCCATTTTCAGATAAGGAAACAGAGACACAGAGAGATTAAGTAATTTGCCCCAAATCATACAGCCAGTAAAGGACGGTAAGAAGTACTACGGGTTCTGTGCTGTTCAGGTGTCAGCGAGTTTACGGAGGATAAATCAACTCCCACTTCACAGTCGTACGGTTGAAAGAATGGGACTTTTGAGCCACACAGACCATGGTTCACATCTGTAAGTTGTATAAACTCTCTAAGCACTAATTTCCATAATTGAAGATGAGAACACAGCTCCAGCTATTTTAAGAAATTGAAATAGGTACTTTTTAAATGCTTAGTCCAGTGTCTGGAACTTAGCATGCACTTAAAAGTTGGTAGTTACTGTTATTTTACATCTATATACAGGTCTCTTCAAAGTCTTCAATCATGATATATCTCAAAACAGTCTGTATATAGTACCTTAATTTGGGGTAAAGAGTCTATATATAATACATATGGTTCTTTTTTTTTTAAAGATTTATTTATTTATTTGAGAGAGCGAGAATGAGAGAGAGAGAGCACATGAGAGGGGGGAGGGTTAGAGGGAGAAGCAGACTCCCCGCCGAGCAGGGAGTCCGATGCGGGACTCGATCCCGGGACTCCAGGATCATGACCTGAGCCAAAGGCAGTTGCTTAACCGACTGAGCCACCCAGGCGCCCACATATGGTTCTTTTAAGAAACAAAAGGTCCTAGTGTGCGCTCCCTGTCCAGATGGCTTTCTTCATTTGGTATAATACAAAGAGAAGAGGCTAAGGACTTGCCCAGCTTCCCCATAGACAAGTCCCACTGGATTCCTTCAGCTCAAGTGCCTCCTCCTGTTCCTTTCCCTCCGAGCCCAGAGAAGCTAGGGGAAGGGATCACAAACTAGTAACTACTAAACACTATTTCCCTGCCTCCTTCAATTCCCTCAGTTAGAATTGACCTAAAGAAGACTGACCTCACTTTGGACCTAGGAAAAATAAAAAGGAGTTGCATATTTTCTTAAAGATTCAGAAAACACAAGATCCCTTTTATAAAAAGGTGACACAGAAACATTGATTATTTTATCCAAAAATGAAATATTATTGGTATAAGCACTATCATACATCACTGATAAATTAGAACAATCTTTTTGTGGGGGCTATTTGGTAGTATCTAGCAAAAGTAAAATGCACATACCCTATTTCTAGCACCGTACTGCTAGGAATTTACTGTCAGTAGCATGAGCAGGATAGGCATAATATGCTTGCAGCACTGCTAATTATAGGAAAACACACTGAAACAAACTAAATGCTTATCACTAAAAGGTTCAGGCTTAGAAATTACAGTACAATCATGTAATGGGAAAATAAGGTATTTCTTTGTTCTCTTCAAATGCATTAGAACTCCACCATTCCTTTATCCCTATTAGGTGATCCGAAATGTTATACTTTTCTTAAACCTGTCCAGAATTCCCCTGAACAACATGGAAACCTTGTAAAAAATAACCAAGCTGTTCTTTCACTTAAATTTTTTAATTTAAATTCAATTTAATTAACATATAGTGTATTATTAGTTTCAGCGGTAGAATTCAGTGATTCATCGGTTGCATATAACACCAGTGCTCATTATATCACGTGCCCTCCTTAATGCCCATCACCCAGTTACCCCAACCCCCACACCCCTCCCCTACAGCAACCCTGTTTGTTTCTTAGAGTTAAGAGTCTCTTACGGTTTGTCTCCCTCTCTGATTTCGTCTTACTTTATTTTTCCCTCCCTTCCCCTATGATCCTCTATTTTGTTTCTTAAATTCCACATGAGTGAGATCATATGATAATTGTCTTTCTGACTGATTTATTTTGCTTAGCATAATACCCTCTAGTTCCATCCACGTCGTTGCAAGTGGCAAGATTTCATTCTTTTTGATGGCTGAGTAATATTCCATTGTATATATGCACATCTTCTTAATCCATTCATCTATCAATGGACATCTGTGCTCTTTCCATATTTTTTTTTATTGTAAACATTTGAGGCTTACAAAAGATAATTTTAATTTTTTTATTCTTTTTTAAAATTCCAGTACAATTAAAATACAGTGTTATATTAGTTTCAGGTGTATAATATAGTGATTCAACAATTCTATACATTTCTCAGTGTTCATCATGTTAAGTGAACTCTTAGTCCTCTTCACCTATTTCACCTATTTGCCCACCAATCTCCCCACTGGTAACCATCAGTTTGTTCTCTACACTTAAGATTCTTTTTACTTGTCTCTTTTTTTCTTTGTTGATTTGATCTGTTTTTAAACTTAACATAGGAGTGAAATCATTTAATTGTCTTTCTCTGACTCACTTATTTCACTTACCATTATACTCTCTGGATCCATCCATGTTGTTGCAAATGGCAAGGTTTCATTCTTTTTTATTTTATGGCTGAGTAATATTCCACTGTGGATATATACCACATCTTTATTCATCTACTGATGGACACTTGGGCTGCTTCCATAATTTGGCTATTGTAAATAATGCTGCAATAAACACAGGGATGCATATATCTTTTCAAATTACTGTTCATATTCTTTAGGTAAGTACCCAGTAGTGGAATTACTAGATCATTTGGCAGTTCTATTTTTCATTTTTTTGAAGAACCTCCATATTGTCTTTTACAGTGGTTGTACCAGTTTGCATTCCTACCATAAGGGTATGAGGGTTTGTTTGTTTTTTACACACATCCTTGCCAACACTTTTTTCTTGTGTTTTTGATTTTAGCCATTCTGACTGGTATGAGGTGATATCTCACCATGGTTTTAATTTGCACTTCCCTGATGATTAGTGATGTGATCATCTTTTCATGTCTATCAGCCATCTGTATGTCTTCTTTGGAGAAATGTGTTCATGTCTTCTGTCCATTTTTTAATTGGATTTTTTTTTTTGGTCTTGAGTTATAAAAGTTCTTTATATATTTTCTAACCCTTTATTGGATATGTTATTTGCAAATATCTTCTCCCATTCGGTAGGTTGTCTTTTAGTTCTGTTGATTGTTTCCTTTGCTGTGCAGAAGCTTTTAATTTTGATGTAGTCCCAATAGTTCATTTTGCTTTTGTTTCCCTTGCCTCAGGAGACATATCTAGAAAAATGTTGCTATGACCAATGTCAGAGAAATTATTGCCTGTGCTCTCTTCTAGAATTTTTATGGTTTCAGGTCTCACATGTAGGTCCCTAATCCATTTTGAGTGTATTTTTATGTATGGTGTAAGAAAATGGTTCAGTTTCATTCTTTTGTATGTAGCTGTCCAGTTTTCCCAACACCATTTACTAAAGAGACTTTTTCCCATTGCATATTCTTGCCTCCTTTGTGGAAAATTAGTCAGCCATTATAATTGTAGGTTTATTTCTGGGTTTTCTATTGTGTTCTATTGATCTATGTGTCTGTTTTTGTGCTGGTACCACACTGTTTTGATTGCTACAGCTTTGTAGCATATCTTGAAATCTGGGATTGTGATACCTCCAGTTTTGTTCTTCAAGACTGCCTTGGTCATTCAGGATCTTTTGTGGTTCCATACAAATGTTAGGATTATTTGTTCTAGTTTTGTGAAAAATACTGTTGGTGTTTTGATAGGGACTGCATTAAATCTGTAGATTGCTTTGTGTAGTATGGACACTTCAACAATTTTGTTCTCCCAATCTGTGAACATGGGATGTCTTTCCATTTGTGTCATCTTCAATTTCCTTCATTAATGTTTTACAGTATTCAGAGTAGAGATCTTTCACCTCCTTTGTTAAGTTTATTCCTAGGTATTTAATTCTTTTTGGTGTAATTGTAAATGGGATTGTTTTCTTAATTTCTTTTTCTGTTACTTCATTAGTAATGTATAAAAATGCAACAGATTTCTGCATATTGAGTTTGTATCCTGCAACCCTTCTGAATTCATTTATTAGTTCTAATAGTTTTTTGGTCATGTCTTTAACAGGGTTTTTCTCTCTATATTATCATGTCATCTGCAAATAGTTAAAGTTTTACTTCTCCTTACTAATTTGGATGCCTTTTATTTCTTCTTCTCTTCTGATTGCTGTGGCTAGGATTTCCAGTACTATGTTGAATAAAAGTGGTGAGAGTGGACATCCTTGTTTTAATTCCTGATCTTAGGGGGAAAGCTCTCAGTTTTTCACCACTGAGTATAATGTCACTGGGTTTTTCATAGATGTCCTTTAGTATGTTGAGGTAAATTCCCTCTAAACCTACTTTGTTGAGGGTCTTTA